ACCTTCACAACGCAGGTATGTTGTGTCATTCAACAATTCCTGCGATCCTCCGTGGATACAGACCTGGTGATTGTCCGGCAGCCAGTCTCTAAAGCGGTTTTCCAGATCGGTTAGTCTGGCAAGACCGCCTTCGAGAATACACCAAGAGAACCCCTGCAAGATAGCTCTCAGGTCGAAAAACACAACAGTTTGCGAAGCTAGTAAGCGGCCGGGCGGCACAGGGATACGCCTGATGGCATTGGTTGCCAGAAGGACAGCTTCACAAGGAGTGCCCAAATGCATACAGTTGCTCACCCGAAATCTGGTGACCCTGCAGGTGAGGGATTCAGCATCGCAGGAGAGTGCCGCGGCAGCAGCCTCACGAAAGTCATCAACTCCTCGAATGTGCCCTCTGTCGATTTGGGCTAGCCTCGGTAGGCCATCAGTGAGGAGCAGGAAAGTGTTTCTGCCTTCAACGACCGGGCTAGGTTCAGACTCAGCCCAAAGACCAGCTCTGTTGAGCTTGAAGGGCAAGTCAAAGAGGCTGGGCAGAGGGGCAGCAGGGGGAAGAACAGTGACGAGGTCCCCCTGCTTGAAAGTAAGTGGGCGCCCCTGACTCATCTGCTGGTGTCGCACGAACACCTCAATCTGTTCAAACCCTGTCAAACCGGTCTGAAGAAGAAAGGAGCCCCATTGCATCCACGGGTCCACAGTAAGTGCAAAAATCCGGCCGTCAACCTGCCTAGAATCGAGCATGATGGCCGTTTTGTGTTCCGCCCATAGCGGCAGGGCGAGAATGCACCCGTAAGCGGCCTGTGGTTGGGGGCACACAGGTATCATAAACTCAAAGCGCACTGCTGGATCGGCACCTCTGGCGAGCGAGAGCAATTCCCCCGTTTCACTTTCTCCGGCCGGGAAATCAACCTCAAGACCTATGACCTCCGGAGTACAGCCCGGCGCAAAGATCGCAAAATACATTGTCTTCACCAGAAAGCGCACTGCAAATATGTCTTCGAGGGCGTTAGTCGCCTGCATGAGCGTGCTTGCGCCGCCGTGGGCGCTTGCATGCAGGGTGATGACTGTGCCCGGGGCAACATGCACTTGTGAGTCCCCACTCGCGCACCCTTGCACATAAACCTCGAAACCGAGCGGCAAATGAATCTCAAGGAGGTCACAAAAGAAACTGGCAGGCTGGAATCCCGGAAGACTACCAACCACAATTAATCCAAGACTCAGCGTCCTAGCATCAAGGAAGACCGGAACCTTGGTGTCAACCCCCTCTTGAGTGCCAGAAGAGGTATCAAGTGCGCCCAGAATGCCACGCACAGCCTTGCCTCCCTGGAAGACGGATGCGGCAAGTGATTCATCACACGGCTCGGCGAAGAAAACATCGGCAGGCGACCGATTCAGTCTCCGGAGGGTTGTTGCTTTGAGCGTGTCTGTATCGGCCGAGTCATGCGGGACAACCGACAAGGCATGCTCGCTCAGAGTGAGCCACGAAGGGGGGCCAGTGCCCAAAAGAAGGGGAAAGACTTCCCCGGGCCGGAAGTCTTCTAACCCCAGCACCCCAACAACATCAACGGCCAAAACAGGGAACCCTCCTATAGGGACAAAGCGAAGCACTGACCCGGATAGGACGCGGAGTACGCCTTCCTGTTTGGCGGGATCGTCGTCCAGGTACACATCCCAGGGCTCAAGGCTGTACTGCTCCGCGATTCTGTCCAGCACGGGGTTCTCAATCACAACCGGCAAAAATGCCGCAAAAACAACCTCCTGGAAAGCTGAGAGATCAACGATGACAACCCTTTGGCCTGAGTACGCTACCCACTTAGGGATTTGCAGGAAGGTCAAGAAAGCTTCGCAGGGTTGGATCGAAGCAGGTAAGAGGATGCTGTCAGGCAGGAGGGCATCAGCGGGGATACCGGTCCTGACTGCCTGGCATAAGGCAGTTTCATCAATGTGCACAGGCTGACGCAGTTGGACCACAATGGTCCGAAAGCCTGGCCCGAGAACCGCTACAGGCACAAGAGTATCCTCGCTAGTGCCAAGATCTCCCGCAGTTGGCCAAGTATGAACATTGGCCCGAGCTCCCAAAACAAATGGCTCAGTCGAGATGCTGCTCGCTGGTAACAACTCGGTAACCCTCTCAGCCTCAACCTGGACATGCTCATGGTCAGGTGTCATGCACCATACACACTTGGGGAGGCTGGCAAAACCGAACAGCATACACAGAAGCCGGGAGACGCTGAAGCCCCCTTGACGGAGGGGCCGCTTGATCTGTTTGCAGGGCATAGTCTTCAGCATCCGCCCTCCAATTTGGGTCTGAAGTGATGGCGAGCAGACGCAAAAGCCAACTGCCAAAGCGGGCGGCACTCCACAAGCAGGGAGCTGGACAAACCTGCTTAGGGGAGAATCATGTCTCGGGAGCCTCCAAAGCAAAAGCTTTAGGAGGGACAGGAAAAGAAGGCCAAGGATGCTCCTAGCAATTGGCACAACAAAGGATGAGCAGGTTTGCAGGCACCAGATCCCGAACCCAGCAAACGAAGGAAGCACTAGGGGCCCAGGAGGACTAAACCCTAGGGGGTCGTTGGGTGAAAAGGCAGCGACATGGTGAGTGGCTCCTGCCCCAGAGCTACCGATGCAGGTATTTAGCGCCCACTCCCATGAAGCCAAGGCTTCAAATGGATGACATAAAAGGTCATCGGCGGAAACATGATGAAGCAAGGGACCTGGCAAGACACTCCCAAAGAGGGAGGCACAACCAGTCCCAGAGGAGACGCAGGGCAGAACAAGACCCCCATCAAAAGCCCAATGATGGAAAATCTTGAAAGCCCTCGAAAGCCCAGGGAGGCGGGAAGAAGGCGTGAGGCTTGGAAACGTGCTCAGCAACATGCCGGAGGTGTCAGAAATCCAACAACAAGGAATTCCAGAGAAGGAGCTTGCAACGAAGCTAGCTTGCTGAACACGATTCCCTAAAAGGGTCAAAACTGTACAGCGGCGAACCTGGAGGTGAGACCGTCCGAAGCCCGAACAAGCAGGGACAACCAAACCTTCACCAGAGCAATAACCGAGAGGGAGCAGAGCATCAGGAAACTTCCCCAGTGAAGTCTCACAGTTGCATGGCCCTCCCAGCTCGCAAAGGTGGTGGTCTGTCTGTCGCCGCATATCCGGTCCAGACCTACTCAGATCCACTAGTCTCCCTGCGTGTCGTCGTCCAGGAAGTTCACTTGTCCCGGACCGCCTCCATCTTCCCCTCTCGTCCTTTCCTCGTCGTCTCCCGAGTGTCGAGTCATGGGCGCACCGAAAGGCTCCATGGCCCTGCGCCGGCGTAATCTCTCCCCTTGTCCTGGACTCGGGCCATAGGGCACATCGTTCGTCCCCATATCTCCAGGAAACAGGCCTGGGGGCGCTCCGGTCTCGCCACCACCACTGGTCATCACATGGGGCCCCGGGGGCCCCTCGGAGGGACCGGGCGCCGGGATCCCAGGCACCGCCCCAAGGGCTGTGCCATCCGCCGCACCTGAAACAGTAAAATGTCCCAAGTGTCCAGGGAGGCCGGGAGGAGCGCCATCTGTCATGGGCCCCGGAACAGGTAGGGGTCCCGGTGGCCCGCTCGTGGCGCCGCCATGGCCCGCAGCCGTCGATGATGTGCCACCAATGTCCATATGCATCAGACCTGGTGACATCATGTAAGGGTCTCGTTCCACCATCATGGCATACTGACTCGGAGTAACACCCGGGAAGGCAGGTGTATGAGGCGTGCCAATACGCTGCCGCGAAGGTGTGCGTGCTCCTGGACTTCCGCCAAGACATCTGTGCAGAACAGCCGTGAGGTTCGAGTCTTCTTCTTGAAGCCACGAAGAAAAGAGCCTGTCCGTCTGGCTGGGTTCCACTGCCATCGGAGCAGGACCTTGCTGGATCGTCCGTCGAACAGTAAGTCGAGCCATCGTCTGGGCCTGTTCCGCCTCGCTGGTTTCCCGAGCCAGCCTGTCTTTGAGCGCCACAAAGCGCTCCCACTCCTTCTGGAACTTCGAAGTATTGCCATTTCGATTGTGCCGTGGCCATCTGCGCCTTGAGTTTGGCAACCCGCTGCTCGGCCTTGCGGGCGCCATTGAGAGCATTCTGTACAGCTCCCACCAAGGTGTCGTCGTCCTCGACGGTGATGACAGGAGCACTTTTGCCCGAGGACGGTGCCCCGGAGGATGGCACAACCACGTCGTCGAAGCCTGGGAACCTGGCCCCCGCCTTGGGCCTCGGGCGGTCCTTCCAGGGCTCCTGTCCAGCTGTTGGAGAAAAGCCACCACGCCAGTAGTGCCAGCCCTCCGAGTCGTCCCAACGCTCGGGACCAGCCTTTGCTTTTGCCCATGGTTTCTGGCCGCGACCCATACGGAGCAGCAGCTGCTTCCTGTAAGCCAGCGAAGTGGCGTGGTGTCGTGCCAGTCGAAGAGTGGCAGTCCTGCTAACACAGCGCCCGGCTCGGATGGCGGCGCGGGCACGAGATCTACGCCTCCTTTCGAGGCGGTGTCCTGGAGGAGACTTCGTCTCCTATCGTACCTGTGGTACTGGGGCTACAGCAATCGTCCCGCTCCTGGGACGTGTTCTGAGCCCTACTACTACATTAACTACTATTGCAATATTTATGCGTATTATAAGCTTGACATCCTCGAGTCCTTCAAGTATGGAGGCCCTCAAAACTGGAAGCTCAAACCTAAAAACCGGCTCACGGACCGTGTGCCCTGTGTACTGCACACAAGCTATCCAGCCACTGCTCTTAAGCACAACATGTCCTCGACACCGCAAAGCTCGTAGGCTCCGCTGTCAGCCATCGGGCTACAGGCTTTGGATGAAGCAGGGTTCAGGGTGGTGTTTGTAGGTACAGGAACACCACGAACCTTTCCCTGAAAGCCTGCTCGACATCCTTTAGCTCCACGGGATTGTAGTTAGTTCAGAGCTTTTGGGATTTGGGTTGAGGATGTTGAGGCCTTTTGAGAGCTCCGAAACCCTACATGTCCAGTCCTTGCCTGTGAGAACCACAGCCGCACCCAGCGCCGCTGTACCCCGCAGCACGCGCAGGGGGCGCCGCCGCCCCTGCATGGAGGGAACTGCTCTTCTTTTCTCAATGTGGGTTCCGGGTCTCACTCTTGCATGAAACTCTTGGTTTTGGCTCTAGCGGAATTAGGGCCGGCACTTGCAGCCTGTGCTCAACATATCTTTCAAGACTTGCGATGGTGCGGAGATCTTGGACCGACCACTGCAGTCACTACAAGAAGTCTCTTGTCCATCCTGGCGGTGCAAAGATGGGAACGGGCCAGCATCACATTTGACAACATGCTTTACAGACCGCTTGTCGCCTCCAGTGCCATGGATGCTGCTATGGCTCTTGCCCGACTCATGGACTTTGAGCCCTCCACGCTTTCCACAAAACACCAGACATGCCGCTGCCCTAACGGCGTTATGAGACTCTTGCTATACCTGAAACTAGCTTGCGAAACTGCGCTGTTGATGATAAGCGTATACTGGCCTTGTTGCTGTACCTATAGCTTGCAACTTGAGTATAGCATTTGTTCAAGGCCGCTCCAAATACGCATCGCTTTGGGTCAACTTGCCAGCGGCTGGGTTCGCCACGACATGGCGGAGCCTCGTTAGTGCAAGGCGGCTACACTGCCTCGAGTTTAAGTAGTGGAGGCTGATCGCCGGTACTATGAAGACTCTGTTCCCTCTAGAATCCTCTCTCACCACCTTCATCGGCGTCTTCATTCACGTCCAAGTACCAAGCCGGAGCACTGCTACTTGTACTGCTGCTTCGCAACAGCGGCACTGCGTCCGTCTACCAGGCGAGGCTTGCCAGCCTTAAAGTTGCTGTTGGCACAAAGCGTTGACTTCAGGCCTTGGGATTTATCTTAAAGCCGTGAAAAGCAAGATGCTTCTACGACACGTTATGTTGTTTCGTCCGTCGCTGTGTCCCAGAAGCTTCTTACGACACAGGAATGTAGAGTAGATTGCAGCAGTAGCAGTGTCTCACAGCTTAGGGTGTTTCCGGGCTTCGGTTGAGGAAAGATTGATTTTATAGAGCCTCCCTGTTGTCCTTGCAGCTGGCGAGCAGCATGCTCACAATGATATACTGCTTCTTCTTGTCCCCGTTCTTGTCGCCGTTCTTGGCATTGCCGTTGCCATTCTTCTTGTGCTGCATCCTCACCGGTTACAGATGAAACGAGCAGCGATTCTGGGGGCTGTGGTCGAGATCGGTGGCCTTTGGGGACTGCATCTGTTTACACGGAATGGGCTCCATTGCTCATGAAAAACTGCAGTCACGTCAGGACGTTTCTATGGTTCCGCATGATTCCTATTGTAATGGCAAACACCGCGAATTGGCCAAGCAGCTGTTGGGGTGATGCGGTTGCCGTCTGCGGCTCAGGTTTCTCGTTTGATCAGGCGAAGACTATGAACTTATGAACTGCAGATATCAACGAAAAAGAAGAGGCAATGCTCTCGTGCAACGACAACAGAATACAGACTTAGATGCATTGTACCTCCTGCACATACTTCTTCCATGTGTGCACGAATGCGGCCACATGCACTCGGCGTCTACGAGCGAACCCTAGCTTTCTCTAGCATGCGGTACAAACCTTCGTCTTGGCAGACTTCGGCAAGAAAGCCAACTCCGCCCTGCCCATTGCCCATGGTATGTCGCCCAGCTGGTGTGCGGCACTGCAGACTGCCTGCCGAAGAACTTGCTTCTTAGTGGCAAACCCCGTAGCCTAGAAGCCAAGACCCAACCTTCTACTCCAAAGCCTGCATGCAGGTGTTGAGGCCACCGCAAGTCCTCTAGGTCTTACGGAAGGCGCAAGCTGTAGACCATCTAGGCCCAACATCCTGAACCCAACAAAAGGTCAAACCCTGAAAGCACAAACCCCACACCCTGCCAGGGTTCCCACGCCCTCCGCAGCATCGGAGCCCTCAGCGGGAAGAATGAAGTGTGGGCGCGGCGAACTTCTAGCATCGGGAGGTCATGGTTAAAACTGCTATCGGAACATGATTCTGTGAACTGTTTCTTCATTGCCCGTTTGGGGTCGAGGGGATGGTTTAGGTTGTGAGGAAGAAAGGTATCGACAGTTTATCTGAAAAACAAACATGAAGACCATACGCTGCTGCTAATTCTGACGATGTTAAGCATCACCACCAACAACAACGCAACCATAAGGAGCACCATGCGTCGTCTCATCATCACCATCACCACCATCAGCATCATAATCATCATCAACAACCACAACAACACAAACAAAAACAGCAGCAGCATCATCATCGTCGTCATCAACAACAACAGCATCATCGTCGCCATCAGTATCATCCCTATGTCCTATTGCCATCACCGTCCCCATCACTTCCCTCGCCTCAAGAAGAATAAGATTTACACCATGGTGGGGCCCCTGCATTTCAAGGACCTCCGCTGCCAGGGGCACCTGTTGCCGCTCGGCGATATCTTGTTGGTGGCTCTTCGAACTTCCTAAGCTTCTCATGTTCATAGTTCGGGCCCGGCGTTCTTGGCGAATTCGGTCGTGGAAGTATGAGTGCTTGCGTTGTCGAATTGTCCGAGGAGTTCACGGTTCAAGGCCTGGTTTTGAAGCAACCACATTAAACTGCTTATGTTCGCCAGCAGTCGAAAGTTTACCCCAGCAGTGCTACAAGAGGTCGTCTGCAGCGTACACACATGAGCGGGCGAGTGCTGGCTTGACTTTTTCGAGCCTTGCTCTGGCGAAGGACGCGGATGGCACCTTCGAGGTAGCCAAAGCTACTAAGAATCAAGCAGCAAACCTGGCACGGTCGGTCTCGGCTCCACTTCTGACTTCCTCGACATCTACCGTCACTGAGGTATCAAAGCGCGTGTATCGCTGCCATCATGAGGAGTATCGAGAAACCTGTGCTCTTTGCATGGCTGAAGGAACGGACGACTGTCCCATGCTGTGGGAGAACTAGAGGCTTCGAGCTCGGATCTTTGTCCAAGCTCATACTATATCAGCAAACTCCCGAAGCCACTGCACCGCGGCTGGTTCTTGAAATCGATGCCACGGGGATGCTGCCATGCCAGGACACGGCTTTGGAATCTCTTTTCTACGTCCTTTGTGAGCCGATCAAGGCGGTGGCCCAGGGCAGGCCAGGATTTGGGTCGAGGCGGTCTTCGCCAGGACCCAACAAAGGAGCAGCCCCGGAAGGCCAAAGGCAGCTGTGGAGGCCCGTTTTGCAGCCTACTGCCTTGTCGTGTTACACCCAAACCCGTCTCTTAAACCAAGTTTAAACCTCAAGCCCCAAACACTCAACCACAAAACCGAGACTTGAGTCTTCGGGGCTCACCAGGGCTTCGCAGAAGCCGTGGAGTAGGCTCCTTTCAAGGGTTCTATGAGGGACACAGTAAGGGGTTCGAACATACGGGCTTTCTTTCATCACTGGAATCGGGTGTTGGGGTAAGATATGACAGTAGTACGATGAAAACGCTACCATAGCCATCCTCATCCTAGCCCACCACATCGGGAAGGAAAGCGATGCTGTCCGTGTAATCCCAACAAAACACGTTCCGGATATGTGGTTTTGGATGACTCTTGGGCTTGGATCGAGGGCTTAACCTCAAGGGGCTAATCTGGCCACATGCTTTGCAGAGTCTGCACGTGCGATGTCGTGCGATCCCTTCCCCATGTGCATTGCACAGAAGTCCGAACCCCCAGTCAACGGAATTGAAACCGAGCTGCTTGCATCGTCACCATCTCGCCAATACCGACTGCCTTGGCCCAGTCAGGGATTGATATGCTGCACGATGTTGCACTAATTGCAGCTCGTCTGCGAATGCCAGTTCTGTGAACGAGCTGCCGTGAACAGGCCAGTAGCTGTTGCTGGAGCCAGTCTCGTGGTAGTCGCACCCGCCTTTTGCCCAATGCTGGTCACAAGCGTCTCTGCGAAACTGGTTTGGCCCAACACTTTCCCCCGAATCTCAAGCCCCGGATGCTAAACCATACACTCCAAACTTTAAATCCTACTGTCTCGCAGCGGAAGTCCGCGTTGCCGACGTCAAGCTGTACTGACTTCCTCCCTCCTATTCACTGTTGTGTCTGGGCCTCGCCGACTGTTCCACGCACTGCCATTGTGATCGCGCACAACGCCTGGCCGACGCCGCTGCAAAACAGCAACCACCACAACTGATCATTCACCGGCTGAACATCACCAGACATCTAACTATTGCTGAGAATGCCGCCTGCGCTGCGGCTGGCTGTCCACTCCCATGGCTGCTGGTGCCCGTTTCCTTCGTGCACATGCTTTCGTGCGCCGCTGCCACACCATGCATGAACACAAAACAGTATCAGGACTCGCTGATTCTCTTTGACGACTCTGCAACCAAGCTGCCGGCATCATCAACCTTGCGCCTCTTGCAGGAACCTTCGTAACTGTCTCCATCTCGCCAATGCCGCTTGCCTTGGCCCACGCAGGGATTGATAGGTTGCACGATGTTGCACTAATCGTATTCGTCGTCTGATGTCGTCTGCATTTGCCAGTTCTGTGAACGAGCTGCCGTCATCAGGCCAGTAGCCGTAGCTGGAGCCAGGCTCGTCGTAGTCGCACCGGCCTTGTGCACAATGCTGGTCACAAGCATCTTGCGAAACTGCTCTCGCCCAACACCTTCGTCATGATCCCGAGGAGAAACCCACCCTGAACTTCAAACCCCGGATGCTAAACCATAAACTCCAAACTTTAAATCCTACTGTGTCGCAGCGAAAGTCCGCATTGCCGACGTCAAGCTGTATTGACTTCCCCCCTCCTATTCACTGTTGCGTCTGGGCCTCGCCGACTGTTCCACGCACTGCCATTGTGATCGCGCGCAACGCCTGGCCGACGCCGCTGCAAAACAGCAACCACCCCAACTGATCATTCACCGGCTGAACATCACCAGACATCTAACTATTGCTGAGAATGCCGCCTGCGCTGCGGCTGGCTGTCCACTCCCATGGCTGCTGGTGCCCGTTTC